TGTGTGTGTGAAAGAGAGAGAGAGAGAGAAGGAGAGAGGGAATTGCATCAGGGTGAGTGTGTCTTATTATTTATGTGCTGCAATCTAGTTTAGAATTATGAGAGGGTTTGGGTTCTTATTCTGAAGGTCTGAGTGCCTTTACCTATACGTTTGTGCGTATGTCTTGGGCTGACATGCGATTTAAAATGCATCATATGAAGAGGCAGTACGAGATTTGCCGCAGTATGTCTCTTCTTACCATGCTGACAGGGGTATTATGAAAGTGATGCAACAGTAATTACTCTTTATGCAAATGATGAATCATGCAACATCCCCATTTTGATCATCTATAAGCAGCCGAGACGTAGCAGTACAGCATCTAGATGCCAAAATCCAATTTGTTGCTCAGTGTGCATGACTGCAGTGTGCAAATTTGCTCTGTATATATTTCTGCATCTGGAATGATATAAAATGACAATAAGGTACTGAAATGTTGTAAAACTGTCACGACACCCTTGAGAATGTTTTTTAAAGAAAAGAGTTTCAAAAGGGTTCTAAACACATTTCTTTCATGATGGAAAATGTGTGGATTACACATGTAACCCTGTTCCCTGAGAAGGGAATGAGATGTTGCGTGAGCTTCACGCAGTGGGAAGCACCCTTGCGTGCGACCGGTACATGAAGTCTGTGTAAAATCATGCCTATTTATAGGCCTGCCGCCTAGTGCCTGTAAACCACATCACCAGTTTCTCTTTGTCTGAAGCGAGATGCAATTTACAGGCATACCCCAGTATGACAAAGCTACACAACAGATTGTTCCCTTTCAAATGGAACTCAATGTTGCGTGAGCTTTACTCTGTGGAAACGAGCATACCCACTCCATCATACTGAGGGTATGGCCTGTCACAGACACTCCATCAGTAGGGGTGTGGCTGGCTGGAATGGCAGCCACATGGACCCTAATTGTAGAAGTAGCCAACCTTGCTGAGAAATGGACTGTAGCCATTGTGCTGTGTACTAGGTCTCACTGATGTTCCTAATGTTTAACATGGTCTTTACCACCTCGGTCGAGAGACCAGAATCTATGAGCTGGTTCCCTTCAGGTGCCAGACTCACATTTTCCATAGTTCTGGCCGAGGGTGATAAATCTACACTCTGGCTTGAGACAGTACATCCCTGTAAATGGGAAACTCTCTGGGAGTGCTGTCCAGCACAGGTATTATCTCCAAGAAACATATACGAGCTGGGCAATAAGGCCAAACTTTAATACCGAATGAATGTGTGAGGTGTAGACCACCCCGCTGCAGCACACTCATCCTGTAAGGGTACCCCTTAGATAAAGCAGATCATTTCCGATAAAGCAGATCAAGGGTACCCCTAGAGCAGATAATTTCCGGTTCCTCCTCCAAATCCATACGAGACTCGCAGGATCCCAGCTGGCCGGCTGCCTCGACAGAGGCCGTTCCAGAGCCTTGAGGTCCCGAAACCCATCGCCCTTTGGCTGAGAAGTGAGAGCGCAACGGTGTGATTTTACACAGACTTCAGATACTGGTTGCGCGGAAGGGCTCTTCCCTACAGCATGAAGCTCACACAACATTGAGTTCCCTTGAAAGGGAACACTTTGACATCCTTCTTCCCCAGAGGTTTTATGAGTATGAAGAAGTTTGCCATTGTCTCCAGGATAAAAGTATTATTTAGGAAACTTTGGCCTGATCTGTGGTAGTGGCTGATTCAAAGAAATCTTTTAACTCCCTTCATGATATATGTAAGATAAACTGCCAAATATTGTTATAGCTGTATTCTGGAACACAGCCAAACATAATGAAAAATTGTGTTTCAGCCAAGATGAGTTTTGCAAATAAGTATTTTTTTTCTGCAAATGATATACTTTGGCATCTCTACTTTAAAAAAAACAAATATATAGTACCAAAATGACATGGAAGCATTTTTATTTAGCTACTTCATAACCTTGCCATGGCTGTTTGCCTGCAAACATCACCTTCAGTCAGGAACCAGTTTAACAAACTATGCTGTAAGTGCATTCAGTCTGCCTAAACATCTAAAACTTTGCTAGTGTTCTTTTCTGATGATTTGATTTTGGATATTTTTGGATACAGCCTAGTTTAATGGAAATAAGCCTAATCAAGTCAGTTTGTAATAAGATTGGTCATTTATATGTCAAGATGTTTAAATGACCTAATACATTTTAACTGTAGGTCATTTAAATGTAAAAAATTATAATGAAAGAGATTAATAATAAGAAATGTAGTCAAAAGAATGGAATGCTAGAATGTCTGGATTAATCAGTGATTATTTCCCCATCAATGTTACCGTGAATGGAGATCAGTTGAGTAAAGGGACAACTCTAATGATTAAATTCCATGAGTGAATTTAACTCCATCCATCCATCCATCCATCCATCCACTGCTTATCCTAGACGAGCTTGCGGGGGAGCCTGGAGCCTTTCCCAGGGAACTTGTGGCACAAGGTGAGGGACACCCTGGACATGGTGCCAACCCATTGCAGGGCACAATCACACACACATTCACATCCTCAGAACAATTTGGAAATGACAGTCAGCCAACAACGAATGACTTTGGACTGGGGAGGAAACCAGAGTACCCGGAGGAAACCCCAGAAGGACAGGGAGAACATACAAACTCTTCTCACTACGAACGGAGATGGGATTCGAACCCCCAATCCCATTGCCAAGAGGTGCGAAGCAAATGTGTTAACCACTCATTTTTATATATTTTTTTATTATTTGGCAATACTATTGTTTGTCCATGAGCAGATTAGGTTACAAATTTAGAGGTAGGTGAAGCATCTTTCAGAGTTGGAACTGAATCTGTAAGTACGATTTTCTCTTTGTTTGTTTTTTTTGTTTTTTGTTTTTGTTTTTTTTACAGATTTTATACTGTAACTTTACTACTTGTTGAGATATTTGCAAAAAAGAAAGATATATACTGTATAATCCATCCATATGTGGTTCTTTATAAACCCTATATACTTTTTCTATATGAGAAACTGAGTGGCAAAATATTCTACTGTAATTTGAAGAAAAAAAGAATTTGATTGGATAAAAAGGATTATACAGTACTACAGCCAGACTTAAATTAGTTATACTAAACAGTGAAGCGATGTCTTTTTAACAATATTACAGGTCTTTTTTTCCCTTTTTTAAAAAAAGAAAAGTGAAAGTGACAGACAAGATTGTGTTACATTCTGCTAGGACACATCTTTTTGTATTTCAAAATTCAAAAAGCATTCCCCTTCTCTTAGATAGAGTATTCAAAAGCTTTCAGTTTGCCCTTGAGACACAGTAAAGAACTGTTCCACCACACACAGACAACAGACTATAAGATCTCGATCTCTCTCTCTCTCTCTCAGTGTGTGTGCATGTGGAGTAGCAGTGAGGTTGACATTGGCGGTATGCCAGTGTCTTGCCTCATAGCATTTTTGGGCACTTTTTGGGGGAAATGTGTACCTACAGTATAAGGCTGCATGATATGGGCAAAATTAGGTTTTGGTAAAGCTTTCATGTGTTATGGTTCAGGATCAGCCTGCATTTATTTGATCAAAGCATGAGGTGGGGGACACCCTGGATGAGGTGCCAACACTTCACAGGGCACAATCACACACACTACAGACAATTTAGAAATGGCAATTAGCCTACAGTGTCTATGGACTGGGGGAGGAAACCAGAGTACCCACAGGAAACCCCCAAAGCACAGGGAGAATATACAGGCTCTGCACACACAGGGTAGAGGCAGGTGAGGGGGACCACTAAGCCACAGGACACCCATTATTATAATTATTGCACACACAAAAAAGAAGTACAGTGCCCTCCACTAATATTGGCACCCTTGGTAAATACGTATGAATAAGGAAGGCTGGGAAAAATTCTTTATAGTTTAACCTTTTGATCATTTGTTTAAAAAAAATTCACAAAAATACACTTTATACTATATATATATAATATATAAAATATAGGTGTGCAACAATTATTTGCAACCATATGAATTCATATGAGAGAAATATATTTAAAGTATATTAAATTTTTTTAGTACACCTGGGCGACTAGGAACAGGAAATTGTTCAACCATGACTTCCTTGTTCACAGGGGTATAAATATGAAAAAACATACATCAAATACATCAAAATCAACACAAAAATTATTTACTGACCACAAAATCAATTTCCTGCCATGGCTGTCGCATAGAAAACCTGTGGGGTGAACTGAAGAGGAGAGTCCTCTAGTGTGGACCTTGAAATGTGAAGGATCTGGAGAGATTCTGTATGGAGGAATGATCTCAGATCCCTTGCCATGTATTCTCCAACCTCATCAGGCGTTATAAGTATAAGTATTGACTAAAAGGGTGCCAATGACTGTGGCACACATATATTTAACAATTATATATTTCTTTTTTGGATAAACCTGTGTTTTGTTTGCAATTGTTTGATAAAAAATGAGAGCAGAGTATTTTTGTTAATTCTTTTAACAAAAGATCAAAAGGTTAAGCAAAAAGACAAATTTTCAGAGCCTTCTTTTCTCATATTTACCAAGGGTGCCAATATTAGTGGAAGGCACTGTTTATATACACATCGATATAGCGAAGGTTTCAACTGTGAGATACAGTGCTCTGTCCTCACATAATATTATGCAGGTAATGTTAAGTAATTATTCAAGTCAGGCTGCTGTCTTTATTGTCTCTGGGTATACAGTTTATCCCAGGAACTTTTTTCAAGGGACCGTTTGGTTCCTCCAGATCTTGTTGTCTGCGTTTAAATCGTGCTCTAAAGATTAGGCAAATTAGTCGGGTGACATATGACCAGACAAGCCCTTGGCAAGGATATGAAGCCTTAAATTATGCTATAATCAAACTGATTATTGACACAAAGTAAGCTGATTTTAATGATGTAATAGTGTTAAATGTTTGCTCAGCTCATAAAAACACGTAGCAGTCGCTGATTGTCAAAAAAAACCTTTGAACAATAACAAAAGACTTTGTTGTAACTAAACTGGTGGTCTAGTGGTTAAGATTCAGCCCTCTCACTGCTGCAGCCTGGCTTCGATTCCAGGTCTCAGAATGAAATTTATATTGTTATCTTTGGATAAAGGTTGTGTTTTTAAAACTGTCAGTCTATTTTCTGAAATCTGATAACGACACTGCAACAACAAGCATGGAAGAGATTCAAGCTGTGCTGCTGTTGATTGTGATGTATTGCTTTGCTAAAGAGGTAATTGAGAAAATGCTGGAGAAGAGACGAGCAGTGGTAGTATAGCGAATTCAGAATGCTTGTAATTCTAGTCTTAAATAAGCAAAGGGATTTTATCAACTACTGCTGAGACGACTGAGACGAGCGCATGCACAAGCTTCTCTCTGCACTGTTTTCCTGTGTGAACAATGCCTAGCTCACTTAATTGAACCTCGTCGCCAGTCCATCTGTCATATTTTTAAAGAAACTCAATTGTGTTGATTCAAATCACAATGAACAACTGTTACTGTACGCACCGCAACTGACTTTTAAAAAGGGTGGTTGAAATACATTCTGTGTGCACTCAACCAATCAGCATGTTCAGCACCCAAGTCTCATCCCCAAAATCCCTGGCTTTTGAAAAAGTACCACCTCCCGAGTAGGGACTTTGCGAGGACTAAATATTTTATTTAGAACTTAATTGAAACCCTGGTCCCTGCAGTGGAAACACACAGAGTACCTCCAAAAGTCCCTAGTTCCTGGGGAAAGTTCCTGCAGTGGAAAAGCGGCATATGTTGTGCTAGCTGAACAGCTTTTTACAGCTTATTTACTTTATTTTGCTCGGTTTCGTCAGTGTTTCCACATGCCTGTCATCGCCTGTCAATCATGAATTCCAAAAAATAAGGAGTAGGCTTTTTTCTGGTTGTTGAATATACTTGTCCCCTTGGCAGCTACAAATAAAAAAAACTAGTAGCCTGGAATGAAATCTTCAGCAGTGTGGAAGTGAACACAGTCTAAAACTAAACTAAAACGTAATCTAAAACAAGAACTGAGTAATATAAACAGACAAAGTATAAGCTTACATTCACACGAGAATACGACAAAGCTTCAGGTAGAGATTAATTTTCTATGTATGTGCACAAGACTGAGCCATAATTTTAGTGACAGCAGCAAGTGGCAAAGCGACAGCATGACAGTGTGATTTGAGATGTTCTCAGTTCTATGCAAGTTACAGTAAGTTTGGCGCAGTAAATTGACAACTGTAGATAATTGGCTCAGATGATGCCTTGGATCAATGGCACGTGCAGTCCAAGATTAATCCAATACTCCTATCACATCTAATGAAGTTAGTCCGTTTCATCATCTGCCTGTCATGTATGACCTCTCATTAAATGTGTATCGAGACATTATGATGAAAAAGACATATGCAGGAAGTATGGTGAGTGTATGTGCTTTGCCTTGCTGATCTGCCAAAAAAGCTAGTATAAAGTCTAGCATGTAAGTCTGACCATTAGATTAAGTGGTGTGTATAGTAGGCTGTGGTTACTTTTCTTCATTTTTAACAAAAACAAAAAACGCTGGACAGTGCACATCCACACGCAACACCATTAATGGTCACCACATGCCCACAAGAGACAAACTCCGAGCAACACAAGCGACATGTTGCTTGCTAGTATGAGCATAAACTCAGCAGTAAGAAGCCCTCATAATAAACTGACTACTATTATGAGTGAGACTATAAACTAAAAAAAAAAAAAAACATAGTAAGTGCAAGGCTTCATGATGACTACAGCGTGTGTCTGAGTAACTGAGTCAGTCTTTGATTACAGGTGATGATTAGGCACCGGTGGCATTAGTCAGAGGAGGAGTGTTAGGTTATTAGGTAGGTGGTGCCAGGAACATGTCCATAACACTGTGGGAATATTTTGTTGGTCATGATGAAAATTCCTTTTTAACACCAAATGGTCTTCTTAAAAAAGAAAAAGAAAATAGGTTTGGTTATAGTTAACCATGATTCAGCTGCAGTAATACATAAGTCAATGACCAGCTCGCAAAAAATTTGTATTCCAAGATAATCTGCATTAGTAGCGAAGGACATATACACCGTCTGCCATGACCTATTGCCACTGAGGAATGTATGTGCCATCTGTGAAAGGTCACAGCAAAAACAAACCTAATGCCCATTCAGACAACAGTTCTTCCAAAAGTTCCACAGCATTTATCTGCCATTTGGGTTAACCTGGAAGCTTCTCGCACTGTTTTGAGATCTGTCTGTCGTTATTTCTGTCCAGGACTAAACCTGATCAGCTTGCAGTGTGATTATTGTAACGGCCGGTGCTATGATTTATGTGACATTTCCTAGATTAGCAGTTCCCACTTCAATGCTGTTGATATTCCACTGCCATCTCTGATTTCATACCAGCTCTATTCGCTGTGGACTTCGAGAAGCCCGGCTGACACAGGTGACAGTCTGCTGCCTCTCTCTTCCTTACTAAAGCAATAGGGACAGGCATAACAGATCCTCTTAGTTCTCATTTTAGCTTAAGGCCCTTTTATGGAAAAGGCTCTACTGACTTTTATTCAGAGCTCGGATCTTATGGCCCATGCCAGGCATTGCAGAGAGAAATGCTTGATATATTTTTAATAGCGAAAGGCTGAGTTATGTAACTTTTTTTTTTTTAACTCTTAGAGAGGCAGAGCTCATAGATGATAGTGGTAATTTCTCAGTTGAGGCTCTTTGCTCACATGCAATAATATGACTGTAATCAACATCAGCGACTGTAAATGAGCTTTCTCAAACCTTCAGATACATAATTAGAGCATTGATGCACATGTAACCGCTAATGATGCTTGGCCAAATACCCAGGCCTTGTAGGTTAGGCATGTACATGACATTTTGGAGCTAATTAGATTAGAAGAAAACAATAAACAGCAAGCTATAGTGGTCCATCTGCCTAAGGGTTCTCAAGGCAAGGGTTCCCGCTTTTTTCTCCAGCCAGGGACCTTCTTCAGTAGAACATTATTTTCCAGACCCCCATATGCCTGCAGCAGAGATTCAGTTTATGAGCATAGTCCAAATATTTAAATGTTAGGTACATTAGCCAAACGTATCTAAAGAGCTCTTATTGCTGAATATTCCAAGCACAGGACTGGAGCTAGTTCCAGGGTGTTAAAATGTAGTTTCTAAACATTTTGCAGCTCATTAATACCATTTCCTGGATTTATTAACATTGCAGTGTTTCAGGTTGATGCTTATTTATATAACTAGATTAAAACCAATTAAATCCAAGCGATCGTTTCAAAATAATCATAACAACCATAGCAATAGTACACTTAGAAAACAAGGGTTCTGCATTGTATCTTTGAATAGTAAAGGTGCTTCTCTTCTACGTGACTGCAAAGCAGATATTTTAATAATAAGTAGAACTCGAACTCGATGGCAATGCCTCTGCCTAGAAGAAGTCCTTTTTGTTAGTAATTTGTTCTACCTTTAAATAAAATTCAAACAGGAAGTAAGCTATTGAAGAAAAGCAATTTCACACATTTGACCTTGCTGTAACCTTGACCCTGTCTGGATTAAACAGAACAAAATCGAATCAGTTCATCTGCTGGTTACAGTGATAATTCCATACAGATCCTATAAACATTGGACCACTCATTAATGAGATATCACCTTGTAGAGAATCTCAGATGGATGGACATCCGATTTCCCACCTCCGCCCTGTGTATGTGGCGTCGGTATGTTCCTCCCGTGCTTCAGGGGCTTCCTCCAGGTACTCCGGTCTCTTCCCCAAGTCCAAGGACATGCGTTGTAGGCTGACTGGCATCTCTAAATTGTTTGTAGTGCATGAATGGGTGTGTGCAATTGTGCCCTCTGATCTGCTCTAAACAGATTGTCCTGTGCTTATCCCAGGACTCTTATTCACAATATGCTCATACCAAACATCCTAAACACACTTAATACTGAATGCCTTTACTCTTCTTCTCCTGCATACTGTCCAGATGGGAGGATGGATTCCTCTCAAGTTTTCCTCCTCACATCATCTCGGGGAGTTTTTCCTTGCCACTGTCACCTATGGTTTGCTCATTAGGGATCTAAATCTACATCAAGACACTTAATACTGCATGCCTTTACTCTTCTTCTCCTGCATACTGTCCGGATGGGAGGATGGGTTCCCGTTTGAGTCTGGTTCCTCTCAAGTTTTCCTCCTCACATCATCTCGGGGAGTTTTTCCTTGCCACTGTCACCTATGGTTTGCTCATTAGGGATCTAAATCTACATCAAGATTTCTGTAAAGCTGCTTTGTGTCATTGTCTGTTGTTGTTATTGTTGTTGTTTTTTGTTTGTTTTTTTAAGCATTTATTTATTCATTTTCATATGATTCATTTACATGTGATTCATTTACATATGATACATTTTCATGTGATTCATATTCATGCATGTGATTAATTTACATGTAATTCATTTTCATGTGATTCATATTCATGCATGTGATTCTTTTACATGTAATTCATTTTCATGTGATTCATATTCATGTGATTCATTTACCTTTTCTCCCCTCCCTTCTCCAAATATTTCATTGAGAAATAATAATAATAATAATAATAATAATAAAAATATTTAATTAAATATAATTCATCATGGCTCATCATGGCTACTCAATAGCTGTCGCTGGTTATATAAAAATTATAAAACCCAAGAACTAAAGTAAAAATAAGAATATAAATAGCCAATTGGAGCTGAAGAGGGACACACATTGTTGTGTCTGTTGTTTAATAGCACTATACAAATGGCGCTGAATTAAATAGATAATAAGGGCATAGAATGTGATGCACAATGCTATAGGTCAGAGAATCGATGTCACCCAGATTTGTGGACAGCAAGTCCTGCAGGTCCGCACATGCACACACAGACACAAAACCGACAAGTGAGTGGTGCAGACCAATTGGTTTGCAACTCAAGCGTGTAGTCCACGTCAAATCTGAGACACTTCAAAGTGCCTGAGAGCTTAATGCTTTTTTAGCCGAGCTCTTTCAAGCTGTTCGCCGTGACTGTGCTCGTCACTATGACTCGTGAAGCGGCAAAAAGGGGAGACTGGAGTGGCTAGAGG